TCACATAAGAGTAAAGGTGGCTGTGGTAATGTGAACTTCATTTCCTGTAATAGAGATAGCAGCCACATGGCCTTTGCTGCAACTATTGCTAAAGCCCTATACTTAGCTTCCATGGATGAACGTGCAATGGCACGTTGCTTTTTGGAGCTCCATGAAATGGGTGTGGTACCAAGTAAGAGGAGATAAGCTGAAGTTGATTTTCTATCGTTCAAACTACCAGCCCAATCAGCATTTGAGAAACACGTGAGCGTTAGGTTTGATGTCTTTCTGATATTGATGCCATGAAAAATAGCGTTCTTCAAGTAACGCTGTAGTCTTTTAGTGGAATTCCAGTGAGTTTCTGTGGGACAATGCATAAATCGTTAGAGTTTATTCACTGCAAAGCTGATATTAGGTCTTGTTAAGGACAGATATTGCAATGCTCCAATCACTCTTCGATGTTCTGTTGAATCCACTGATGATGAACCATCTGCTAGCTTTGGAGAAATAGAGGTCGATAGAGGAGTTGTGACATCCTTAACTCCATCCATACTTGTTTTAGCAAGTATGTCTCGGATATATTTATGCTGAGTTAGAAACAAACCGTCGTTTGTAGGAATTACCTCAACACTAAGGAAAAAATGTAATGATCCCAAGTCCTTGATGGAGAATTTTTTTCCAAGTTGATCAATAATGCTTGCAACAAATGTCATGCTTGTTTTAACCCATATATTGCGTTTGAGAGACAGCAAACATGATTTGGTTTTTTTGGATTCTTGAAACCTGGTGGTTGCTTTATATATATATTTTCAGAGAGATGCCCACGAAGAAAGGCATTATTGACGTCTAATTGCCTTAGAGACCACCCTTGCATAACAGCAAGGGTTAACACAGTACGTATGGTGACTGGTTTTACAACAGGACTGAATGTCTCTTTGTAATCAAGCCCTGGTCTCTGATTGAACCTTTTGCCACAAGTCGGGCCTTGAAGCGATCAATAGATCCATCAGCATGCCTCTTAATCCGAAACACCCACTTACACCCAACAATATTACAATCATTCGGAGATGGAACAAGTTGCCATGTATTGTGGCACATTAAAGCAGTTAGTTCAGAGGACATGGCATCACACCATCGTGAATCAGTGAGTGCTTCAGTGACACTTGTTGGTTCTCAGGATGGTGGAAGAGGATGCTTAGTGACTACAAAAGATTTTTTTGGTTTATAAATATTGTTCATGGATTGGGTAGTCATGCGGTGAGTGTGCACTTCATTGTTCTTAGAAACATCAGGTTCATGCACTTCTGATGGAGAAATTTGTTTTGAAATCAAGGTAATGAAAGAGGGGTTACTTACCTAGAGAGGAGGCGATTCACGAAGTGACCCATTCGCAGACGATGGTGAGACTTCAGCACCCAATACCGGGGATTCTAGAGCTCGGAGTGGAGTTAACAGGACTTTCGGCAACGAGATTGTCACTTGGGAATTTTCTTTGTCCGATGGAGATGAGGGGTTTACGGAACTTGTAAGATTTACCTTTTGAAAAGGGAAAATTTCTTCGTGAAAGATGACATGCTGAGAGTGAAAGAGCTTTCGAGTAATGGGCTCAAAGCATAGATGTGCGTTTTGTGATTGAGAGTAGTCCACGAAAATGCATGGTTGGGCTTTGGGCTTAAGTTTATGTTTGTTATATGGCCTAGTTAAAGGATAACATAGGCAGCCAAATTGCTTGAGTTTAATGTAATTTGGGGTTTGCACGAACAATTTTTCAAACGGAGATTTATTGTTCAATGTTGAGGTAGGCATTCGGTTTATGAAATATGCAGCGGTTTGAAATGCATACGGCCAAAATGAGAGAGTCATGTGAGCATCTGTGAGTAAGGTGAGACCAGTCTCAACAAGATGGCGATGACGTCTTTCAGACATCCCATTTTGTTGAGGAGTATAGGGAGCTATTGTGTAATGACTAATCCCATGATCAGAAAGGTAAGATTTGAGACCAATATATTCTCTACCATTATCAGAATAAAGGCTCTTTATTTTTGTGTTAAACTTATTTTCCACAAGATTTCGAAATTGCGGAAAAATGGTTTGAACATTGGATTTATGAGTCGTAGGATACAGCCATATGTATTTGGTGTAGTGGTCAACAAAGATAACATAATATTTTGAACCATTGATACCGATTTCATGAGATGGACCCCAAACATCTGTGTAAATTAATTCTATGGGAGTAGTGCTAGTGAGACCATGAGAATTAAACGGTTGACGATGAGCTTTATTTTGAGAACATGAAGTACAAAGTGATAAATGTCCATTCTTATTGGCAGGTAAAGAAAAAGCATTAATTAAATGATGGACAAATTTTTACAATGGATGACCAAGTCTTTTATGCCATCCATCAGTTGTAGTGCGTTCATGAACATAGGCAATGGCATTTTTGGAGTTTGCTGCTAGATTCTCCGGGAATGGGTATACTCCATCTTCACATTCGCTTTTGAGTAGTGTCGTCCCCGTGATCCGATCCTTCACCAAAATATAATTAGGATGAAATTCAAGGTAAACATTGTTATGCTTGGTAAAGTTGTGAATAGAAATAAGGTTTTCTTGAATTGTGGGAACACAAAGGGTATCACATAAATGAAAAACACGATTCGATGATGCAAGAGATAATGAGCCAACATGAGATACAGGCAAACCTAATCCATCACCAATTACCACCTCATCGATGCCACCATATTCAGAAGTAATCGACAGATTTGAGAGATCAATGGTCATATTGTGAGATGCCGCCGAGTCGATTAGCCACTTTTGATTTTTTCCTAGGGAGGTTGCTGCACAGTTTACCTGGAGATCACATGAAGACATTTTGGGGTAGCTCCTAGTCGTGTGGCCCACTTGATCATACCATTGGCATTTGGGCTTGTATTTCCTGTGGCCCGTATTTGAGGGCCTAGTTTTGTTGTGTCCAATGTTGCTACGAGGCTTGTTGGAAAAATATTTAGGACTTTGTTTATGTTGTCCAGGTGCTCCTCCTTGTCGATGGGAGTAATTAGTAGTTGGGACAAAGATGGTTGCCGATTGATTCTCCAGTCGTCGAAGGTAATTCTCATGACCTACAAGGAGATCATGTATTTCTTCAAATTTCAGAGACGTCTCACGAGCACGAATGGGTTATGCAATTTCTCTAAATTCAAGACCCAATCCATTGAGGATGTAGAGGGTTAAGTCATCATCCGAAACAGGATGATCAATGATTGCGAGTTCATCGGCCATCACTTTGATTACTTGAGGGAATTCAGTCACCGTGCGATTTCCACGAGCGATCAAGGTCAAATCCTCCTTGAGTTGCATCCCATGTGTTCGTGATTTACTCTCATATAAACGGATAAGTGCAGTCCAAGCCTCGTGAGATGATTTGCATGCAGTAAGAAGTGGGGTAATAGTGGTGGAGGTGGAGGCAAGTATAGCGTGGAGGATGAGTTTGTCTCGGTGAACCCAATGGGAGTTCGTAGCTTTGGAGGCAGCGGAGTTTGTTTCATCAATGACAGGGCATTTTTTTACCCCAGTGACAAAGTCAATGAGGTCATAGCCAGTGAGCAATGCGTCAAACTGAGCTCTCCATTGAGGGAAAGGTAGAAGGGGTGAGTTTTTCATTTGTGGTGGTTGCGGCATTGATGGTGATGATTGGAGAATCAATGGAAGATGCAGGAATGGCAGCCATGTCACAGGAAGGATGAAAGAAAATACACTCGCTAGAGGCTTGTGGCTCTAATACCATATAGAGAATTTTGAATTCTGAACACTTAAATTTCTATTCATGCTCTGTGTATATATACAGCCCGAGAAGCCTATATACAGCCCGAGAAGCCTAATTTTAGGCATACAGAATATGTATCTGAAAAGGAAATATACAAAGTAATAAATTGCAATATTTATAGAAATAAAAACTGATCCTAGAGTCATGGGAGGCACAAAATCTGGCAATGTTTATTGTGGCAGCTGGGCTTGAGTTGTTGCTTGTATGACTACTTCATTTTCCTCGATACGCAACTTCTGACCCACCATCTCATGGGTGGGTCCCATTGGAGAAAAAAGGGTCAGATTTTCAATGAAAATCCAGGGAAAAAGTAGGAACAGACAGCCTCTAAATTGTTTGCTACATTAACATTCTTTACCACACATTCACACAATAAAATATTCTACACACAAACCAATAAAATTTCTTTAAATTTTAACCACACATTCTTCAAAAAATACTATTTAAAACTCTATAATTTCTCCCATAATGGGAGACAAACAGGCTATAAGTATTGTTCAGCCACTCAATGCCTGGTCCAACTTCATGGGAAGCTGACCAGTGACTTACATCTCTCATTCCCACATACAGTTGCATGCACATAGACATCGGCACATCTTTTCTTTTCTTCCTTCTGTTTTATTTCCTTGTTTTTTCTTCTACCATGTTTTCCCTTTTCTGTTTAAACATATGCAAGATATTTCATAGTCTAGGTAATGATAGCTAATGCTCAAAACTTATATCATACCCACTTGTAGGAAGATTCTTGCTTGTTCTTCTTGTTCTTTTTTTTGAAGGATGTTGTGTGGGTGGGATAGGGTGAGGGGAGCTAGTGGTGGTTGTGGGCTGGATGATTGAAATAGTGTTTGACTTTGTTTTTGTACACCTCTCATATCTTCGTTTGCTTGTGTTTTTATACAGCCCTTATAGGTGTTGGCAACTTCATATTCTTTTCCATTTTCATGTCTGTGTGCTCGCTAGTACATGCTCTTGTGCATGGTGATCTATGATTTACCTCCTGTTTCCTGTTTCTCTTTTAGGCCGGAGATATTTATATGCATATTTAAAAAATGCTTTAAGCTTTTATTAGGTTCATTCTTGCTATCACACATTAGTGTTTGTCACTTTGCACTTGTCAATTTGTTGCCTAAATATTATGACTAAAATTACATTACTGATGAACTATGCCCTCTCAAGTTTACATTTTATTATTGTGGACCAGGATAACAAGTGCATAGTATTAAATGGCCCCTTGACAACAACAATTGTGATTTTGAGGAGCTTGACTGACCTCATTTACTTACTTCACATGCTCCTTCAGGTAACTTATTCCCACTGCTCTTATTGTTTCTCATGTACTTTGTTATTTTTAACAATCGAGTTGAAAACTTGTTCTTTATTATACTCATCAATCCATCATTATCAATGCACGATGGAAGTGACAATATGGATGCTAATGACTCATCACCAACTTGAAATCCAAGGTTATAGTTGCTAGTTAGTTTATTTCCTCTTATCTGAACTGTTATATTATTTTCTATGCTTGAAAACTCAGTATTAACATCATAACCAGGATCAGCCAGATCTGGACCCTTCTTTTAGCCCTCCAAATATCCCATCTTGCCTTTACTTGTGAAGAAATACTTCACTGATTTCGCCCAATGTATAAGATTTTTTCCCGTCGTGTCAATGAGATGTAATCTGGATGATAGACCTCTTTTTCGAACCAGAAACTTGTCTCGTGTAGGTTTCATTTATCTCAAATGTGACTATGAAAATTATCTTCTGAGATACCACGAATGAAGTCTGGTTAATCAACAAAAAAGATGAATCCCAGATTTTGATAATGGGGCCCTGATACCATGAAGGGGAAGTTAATTAATAATTATTATGTTTGTATATTCTACGTGATTACATTTCAATATGTACATAGAATTATCGAAAATCAAAGTCTAGAAAGTAGGAGAAAATGCTTTCATAGTGAGGCATTCATCTAATTCTGGAAACAGTTCATTACAATTCGTCCCAAAATATCTGAAATATTGTCTGTTGGGACATGTCCAATGTACAACCTAGTATGTCTCCATTCATATTTATCTTGAGACCGTACATGGATAGATGTGATAAACTTCTTAGGAGGTATCATAATGACCCTTCAAAACTCTCCTAAAACACAAAGTGATATTGGCAAAAAATAAATGTGAAAATGCTCCCCTATCGGTGAAAACTTTAAAAAGTCCTAGGATGATATGAAAATGAGCATCTGAAGCTTTAAAAAAGAACCAAATGTTTTAGGCAAATAGTAACTGCAAGAGAGAAACCCTTTCCCCTCCTACCTCAAATCCCCTCAGTAAAGAATTCTCCTTAGCCCTCTCCAAGAGGAAATATATTTTGTATATAAGTTAGATCCTAATCATGGATTTACAGATAGTATTGGAACATGTATAATTTCGCAAAAAAAAGAAAAAAAAAAAAAGAAAAAGAAAAAGAAATAGAAAGTCACTTGTATATAGAACAGTGTAGACCAGAAAAACACAACTAAAGGAATTGTTGT